TGCCTGTACACTCATACCAGTTCAATGAATGAGGAGGAGGCAGGATTGGAGAATCATATCACAAAATCTTTGACAAGCAGGCATTCAAATTCTCCTTGTACATGTACAGTATCAAGAAATTCATTCTTGTGAGGCACTTTTTTTTTTTAATGTTTTATTGTGAATTATGTGATAGTTTACATGGGAGAACATTAGCTTTACATTCATCCTATGGTATAGCCTTTCATTGCCATGGTTACAAAGAGGCATTTGTTTTTTAGCAGCTCTCTTAAAAATTCTTATCTTTAATCGTGAGCCACTTATTTGAAACACTGATCTCTTGGTGCAGGTCTGCTATCTGGTTCAATGATCTACTATCTGGAGACAACGATCACCCCACCCTCACTTATTTCTTTTTATTAGTATTATTATGGTAAAAATATATTTTAAAAATTGCTGTTTTGACCACTCATATAATTCAGTGACATTAACCACATTCATCATACTGTGAAACCATTACCACCATCAACGTTCAAAGTGTTTCAACATGCCAAACAGAAGATACCAGTACCCCTTAAGCAGTAACTGAGCTCTTTCCCTTCCCTTGGAAACCACTGGTACACTTTTGTCTCTTGTGTGTTTCCTGTTCTAGCTATTTCATATTTGTCCTTTTGTATCTTATTTCATAAGCATGATTTTCACCTTATTTCCTTAGTGGTGGTGACGGTGGTGGTGATGTGCCATGGAGTCTAACTTAAGATTAAGATGTGAAATCCTGATTTAAGTAAAATCTGTGAAGTCCATAAATAATTTCATAAGCTTTTACATGTGGAAGAGCAAGCACTGAGTTTGCAATAACTAAATCAGGTTTTAAAAGTAATCCATCTGACAAGTGAGTATTAAGGGAAGAACTTTATTTATAGTTGTATCTAGTCATTTCTGGCAACAACCTTAAGTGTTCCTTCCAATGAAGAATGACAAATATGTCAGGCATAGTAGTTTATACAGGTTTTTTTTTTTTTTTAAATTAAGCTAATTATACCCACTATTCTGTGTTGTTTTAATGAATAACACCTAACTATTCACAGTTGTGAGTCCTGGCGATGTGGGTTAATATGCCAGTCTGCAAAGCCATTTGAACTTCAAGGTTGGTTGTTCAAGCTCACCAGCTGCTCCTCGGAAACCCCACACAGAGTCTCTATGAAACGGAACCGATTCGTTGGCACGTAACAATATTCACAGTTGAGTCCTGGTGTGGTGCTGTGGGCTAGTGCATCAGACTGCGAAGTCATTTCAACTGCAAGGTTGGTGGTTCAAGTTCACCAACTGCCCCTTGGAAACCCTATACAGGATCACTATGGATTGGATTCGACTTGGTGGCACCTAACAACATTCCGAGTTGTGATCTCTTATTGATAGCAATAAATGGCAATATTTTAATCACTTAATCTAGACTACATGGCTTGTATTTTATACTGTGACGGTTAAGGTTGTGTGTCAACTTGACTTGCTCATGGTTTAGCAGATAATTATGAAATCATCCACCATGTTATGATCTCATGTGAGCAATCAGTTGAAAGTGAAGTTCCCTTGGGCGTGTGGCCTGAATCAACATATAAGGCTGTTCTGGTAAAGCTCCCTCTTTTGCTTCTGCATCCAACTCATCATACTCTGACTTCTGGCTGTTGGCACATGAGCCAGGAGGCTGCCACCTGGCCTGAAGGTTGTGGGCTTATCAGCCCTGCAACCATATGAGTCAGGAGAAGCCTTCAGTCTGACGTCCAACCATGGATTTGGGACTTGCCAGCCTCTACAACTGCATTAACCATTTCCTTGAAACAAACCATTCTCTCTGTATTTATATATATACGTGCCTCCCTGGTTTTGCTCCTCTAGAGAACACAGCCTAAGACATATATTATGATAGTAATTTTATAGCTACATAAAAACTACTTATCACACCAAACAATCTGTCAAAGATCCACTCTCTACAAAAATATGCAGGAAGGACACAGGGCGTTATGTACTTTTGAAGATGTGCAAAAGATCATAAAGATACTAGTAATTTTGCTTTCATTGTAGAGATGAGGAAACGGAAGCTCCTAAAGGATAAACCTGTTAACATTGAGTTGATTCCAATTATAGCAACCCTTTCTATAGGAAAGAGTGGAGCCCCGATGTGGCACTGTAGGATAAGCCTTCGACTGCAAGGTTGGTTTGAACCACAAGATTGGTGATTCAAACTCACCAGTTGCTCCTCAGAAACCCTATATAGGGTCGCTGTGAGTTGGAATTGACTCGATGGCATTTAACAACATAGGACAAAGTAAGCACTGCCCCACAGGATTTCCAAAGCTGACACCTTTAACAAAGCAGACTGCCACATTTTCTTCACAGAGCATCTGGTAGGTTCAAACTGCTGACCTTTCCATTAGAAGCTGACTGTTTAACCACTGCACTACCATGGCTCCTTTCCAAAAGGGTTAGGTTGCCCAAAATTTTATCCCTAGTTGGTAGAAACTAATCCACAACAAGGACACCAGACATTAGAGTCCAATCCTCTTAGATTAATTCAAAGTTATAATACTGATTAACAAGGACTGAAAAAGAAAACAGAAGGTATTTTACTTCTTAGACTATTACTAAAACTGATCAAATTTAAGCTACAGAAATAATCTATTGGCTATATTGATGCTTCTTCCTGTTTAGCTTCATACTACTGGACATAAATGAAGACAAACAAACAAAACACCCCATGATTTAGGATTAAAAAAAACTTCCTGGGTTGGGCACTGAAACAAATTAAAAATAAAATTCTTCAAACGAACCTTCCTATAATACAGTTATTTGAAACTCAAAGCCGAAGCTGTCAGTGGCTGAGAATAGTTTAGGAAGTTTATAAAGCTGCACTGAAAAAGAGAGTGAGAAAGAAGACAGGGGAAAGAGAGGAAGAAAGGAGAGAATTATTACTAACACATGATGCAGTATACTTTAAAGTAGGAAATGATGGGAAAATTCTGGTAGATACCAAAAATAGCAGGATATAACCAAGCCAGAAATAAACACATTTTATAAACAAGATGAATGAAAAGGACTTACATGTGTACATGCATAGGGCAACACAGTCTGGCAGCTTCTTAAAAAATTAAACATAGAGCTACCACTTGACCCAGCAATTTCATTCCTAAGTACATATCGAAGAGAAATGAAAACACATACATCCAAAAACTTGTACATGAATGTTCATAGTAGCACTATTTCCAATAGCCTAAAGATAGAAACTGAAATGTCCATCAACCAATGAATGGAAAAATAAAATGTGGTATATCTATCCAATGGAATATTAACTAGTCAGCCATAAAATAAATGAAATACTAATACATGCTAACACACTGATGAACCTTGAAAATACCATGTTACTTGAAAGAAGCTAGTTTACAAAAGACATGAATTTTATGACTCCACTTACGTGAAATGTCCAAAATAGGAAACTGGCTCTGTAGGATAAGCACTGGACTGGTAACCACAAAGTTGGCAGTTCAATCTCACCAGCCTCTCAGTGAGAGCAAGATGAGGCTTCCTGCTGCCATAAAGAGTTACAGCCTTGGAAAGTCTACACATGGATCACTCTGAGTCTGAACAGACTCTATAGCAGTGGGATACAGACCGAAATTAGATTAGTAGTAGTTGGGGGAGTAGCAGAACTGTGAGGTAATAATTAAGGGTAGAGTTTTTTTTTTTTTTTACTGTGATGGAAATATTCTGAAACAGTCAATTGTGATCATGGTTACAAAACTCTGTGGCTATAATACAATACACTGAACCGTACACTTTAAATGGGTGAACTCTATGGTCATGAGTTGTTTCTCAATAATGTTGGTAAACAAGCAAACAAGAAAAGCAAGTCCGAAATGAAAAAAAAAACAAATACACCGCAATTCCGTAGAAGTGAAAGTCAGCAACAAAATAGGTGAGAAGGCACTCAGTTGAAACGTCTGATGGAGGGACCAGGACGAAAGACAAGGGCATGTGAGCTACCTCCTGGTGAGAGCATGAATGAGAATAATAAACTAGATGACTAAATAATTATATACAACATAATAATAGCATATGTAACACTGGCAAAACTTGGTGTTTTACATTTGCTAAGCAATGGAGCAAACATTCATTTCATCAATTGTTTAACATGGTAAAATTCTCATTGCCTGAGAGACTGGCAGAACTATAATTATGGCTAATTCATATTTGTATGGTGTGTAGCAATTAGCTTGATGCCTTATACACAATTAGCTGGATGACATATACAGTAGGTACTCAAGAAATACTTCTTGAGAAACTAACCATGATAGCCAGAACTTGAGGCTCATAACTGAGGTCAAATTTTAGTCATTAAAAAGAAAAACAAAACCACAGAGCATTATATATACCACATTTGAAACATTTTAATGGACCTTTAAATGAATTTTAATTCAATTAACAACTAAAATATGCACAAGAAGAATTTGTCAATTTAACATAAGAAAGTAAAAAGATGCATGAAGGACATAAGGACATTTTGGGAAATGCTAAGAAAATGCTGTAACTTCTTTCATATGTATATACCACAAACAGACACTTTTGTTATCTTGGTAATGTCAAATTTTAAATCCTGCATGTTTCTCAGTGAAATCATTCCTGACAAATGTTGAATTTTCACCTGTATTTTTCTGATAAGATCATTAGACTGTCGAATAACATGATACAATTTAAAACCTATGGCTTAGTGTCTAAAAAATAAATTAATTAAAGAGACACATTATTAGGAGAAAAATGAATACAAATTTACCAAACAACAACAAAAAAAATTGTTTCTTCGAAATTGGTAAATGGTCTAAGCATTGTTTCACTCAGCAAACTTAGAAGCATTATATTACCAAAATACAAATAAAATAGGCACAAAGAATGAGATGATGTAGTGGCTGACACGAATCATTAATTGGGTGCTAGCAAACAACGTCAATAAAAATGAATGGAACAGAAAATTAAAAAAAACTTGTTTTTAGTTTAATTGTTGGAGCAGAGTGTGCGGCAGGGGCTGGTTGTCGGGCAGCTGCTTTAGCCTTGCTAGCCTGGCTTGCTCGAACAGCAGTTTCCAGGCGTACTTTCAACTCAGGAGCAGCTCCCATTACTGTCTTGAAAGCATGTGGATACAGAGGTCCAATATGCATTAAATTCTGGAGTGCAAACTCATGAAGATCTTTAGAAGCTGTGCTTGCTGAGGTAAAAGAATTTTCATCCAGCAGGTATGAGATCAACATTGGAACTAAAAGAGCAAGTAACTGGACTCCTGTAAAAACCAAAATAATATATGAAGAACCAGGATATTACACTAAAATTTAATTTTAAAACCAGGCAATTATAACAGTGGTCTGAATTATAATAAAAAATAAATAACTATGTATAATCTATTTTAGATCTCAAAGATAACTCATAGTTAATATTATATATTTACTAAATGCCCATCACAACTCCTGCCAGTTTGTCATACTGCGGTTGCTTTTTTGTTGCTGTGATATTGGAAACTATGCCAATGTCATTTTCAACACCAGCTGGGTCACCCATGGTGGACAGGCTCCAGTGGAGCTTTCAGATTAAGACAAACAAAAAGGAGGAAAAGTGGACCACTTCTGACTGGTTAGCCACTGAATGGCTCACCACTGAACACTTAATGAATAGCACTGATATATGACAGAAGTTGAGGAATTCAGGCTGGAAGGCATTCAAAATACAATGGGGGGGTGATGTGGGGAGCTGCTTCCTCACAGTAGGTGATGGGGGTTATACGCTGTCAAGTTGGATTTGACTCACAGAGACCCTTTACAGGGTTTCTAAGGCTATAAATTTTTACATCAGCAGAAAGTATCATCTTTCTCCTGCAGAGTGGCTGGTGGACTCAAATTGCTGACTTTGAGGTTAGCAGTTGAACATGTAACCCACTACGCCACCAATGCTTCTCTTCTCAAAGTAGAGCTGACCTTAATATAGGGATGGAGCAAAGTCTCGGGACTTCATTTGCTGATGTGACATGACTCAAAACGAAAAGAAACAGGTGCAAACATCCATTAATAATCAGAACATGGAATATACAAAGAGTAAACATGGGAACACTGGAAGTTGTCAAAAATGAAATGGAATGCATAAAGAGTGATATTCTAGGCATTAGTGAGCTGAAATGGTCTAGTATTGTCCATTCTGAATCACACAATCATATGGCTTACAATGCTGGGAATGACAAATTGAAAAGGAATGGCATCATACTCATCATCAAAAAGAACACTTCAAGATTTATCTTGAAGTACAGTGTTGACTGCGATAGGATAATGTTCACACATCCCCATAAAAAAGGATCAGTTAATACCACTATTATTCAAATTTACTTACCAATCAATCACTATAGCCATTGATGATGAAATTACAGTATTCTACCAACTTCTATGGTCTGAAATTGATCAAATATGTAATCAAGATGCATTGATAATTACTGGTGATTAGAATGAGAAAGTTGTAAACAAACAGGAAGGATGAACAGTTGGAAAAAATGGTGTTGGTGATAAAAACGCTATTTGCATGATGGAATTTTGCTAAACCAATCACGTATTCATTGCACATACCTTTTTCCAACAACATAAAAGGCAATTGTACACATGTCCCTCACCAGATGGAATACATAGGAATCAAACTGACTATATTTGTAGGAAGAAACAATGGAGAAGCAATGATGGGAAAACTCAATCAATCAAAACAAGGCCAGGGCCAAATTGTGGAACATCCCATCAATTACTCATATGCAAGTACAGACTGAAGCCAAAGAAAATAAAAACAACTCCACAAGAGCCAAAACATGACCTTGAATATGTCCCATATGAATTTAGAGCCCATTTCAAGAACAGATTTTATGCTTTAGACCCTAAAGATGGATGACCAAATGAGTTGTTGGATGACATCAAGAACATCATAGGGGAAAAAAGCAAAAGGTCATTAAAAAGCCAGAAAGGAAAGAAAAGGCCAAAGTTGATGTCAGGAAGACACTCTGAAATTTGCTCAAGTGTAGAGAGAAGCTAAAGCAACTGGAGGAAATGATGCAATTAAAAGAGCTGAACAGAAAAATTCAAAGGACAGCTCCAGAAGACAAAGTGAAGCAGCATAAAGAAATGTGCAAAAGACTCGGAGTTAGAAAATCCAAGGAAAATAACATGCTCAACATTTCTGAAAGCGAAAGAACTGAAGACTTGAAAGAATTCAAGCCTTGGGCTGCAATACTTAGAATTCTCTGGGCAAAATATTGAATGATACAGGAAATATCAAAAGAAGATGGAAGGAATACACAGTCACAGCACCAAAAGAAGTGGTTAATGATCATCCATTTCAAGAGGTACCATATAATCAAGAACTGATGGTATTGAAAAAGTCCAAGCTTCACTGAAGGCACTGACAAAAAAAATAAGGCTGAAGGAAAACAAATTAAAATATTTCAACAAACTGAGGCAGCACTGAAGGCACTCACTCATCTAGGGCAAGAAATTGGGAAAACAGTGTCTTCCAACAACGTGCAGGACTAGGCAGACGTGCTATACAAACCCTCTATAACAAAGATATGGGAGACCAAAAGAAGGAGACACAGAGGACCATTCAGCAGAGGAAAGGTTTCAGAAGTGGGCTGAATACCTACCTGGAGGAGAAAGTGAGCAGGGGGGTGAAAAAGCAGACTGACAAGTGAACAGACTGCAGCCAAAAGTTCAGGCGCAGCCTTGAACTTTTGCAAGCTGCTTTGGAGAGAAGGATGGCAGCCTTATGGCACAGATTCACAAGAGTGACGGAAAAAGTGGAGTTTCTTTTTGCTCCCCACACTCCCCTGGATAACACCACCCTCATCCACCCCTAGTGCTGACTCTGCTGCTCTCTAGGAGGTTCAGAGTTGGGTGGTTTGAGCTAGTGTAAAGTGGGTGTTTGTGGCATCTCCTTGGCACTAGCAGGCTCTGCTCCAGATGTACAGAATCCACAGAGTCTCCAGGTCAGAATCAGACTAGGAGGATCCTTCAAAATCTGCTACCTTACCCGTAGCTGCCCCCTGGTTCTGACAGACACTGACACTTGTAACCTGAAGGGCCTCCACGAACTACTTCCAGACTGAGTGCCCTGAACACAGACAGCACCTAGATCTATAGGAACTCCATCTAGGGCTGGGAACTCAGTCCTCACATCACTCTGCCATCCACTTCGTAATTCTTTGGTTAGCAGGAGCAGTCAGATTTTTCTCCTCTCTGGGTCCAGTAACTGCACTGGTTTTTTCTTTGTATAAAACTTCCAAGTGGTGAGCAAGTAAAGCAGATTTTAAGATAAAAGAGACTGTTTTAAACATAAAATGAATACACCTTCACATCAAAAGGAAAATCATAAGATTTCATGAACATTAGAAAAACAGCAACTAAGAAAATTAAAAGAAAATCCATGCAATGAAACTCAGAGCAGAAAATTAGTGGAACAAAGAAACTAGCAGAACCACACAGCAAATGACAGCAATCAATTCATACCTATCAATAATCACACTGAATGTAAATGGATTAAATACACTAGTCGAGAGACAGAGAGTAACAGAACAGATAAGAACACAGGATCATTCAATATGCTGTCGAAAAGAGACACATCTTATATACAAAGACATAATAATAGACTAAAAGTCAAAGGATGGAAAAAAAGTATATCAAGTTAATGGCAATAAAAAATGAGCAGAAATGGCAATGTTAATCTCTAATAAAAAAGACTTCAAGGCCAAAACCAGCATAAGGGACAAACAAGGGCATTATATCATGCTTAAAGGGCCAAATAAAAAAGAGGACATATCATAATAAATATCTAGTCGTGATGTAGTGCTGTGGGATAAAGTCCTGGACCACAAGGTTGGTTTGAACTGCAGGTTGGTGGTTCAAACTTAACAGCCACTACTCAGAAACCCTACACAGGGTCGCTGAGTTGGAACTAATTCAATGGCACTTAACAACAACAACATGCTCCCAATTAAGAGTATGCTGTTGTTGCTAATTGTCGAGGAGTCGGTTCCGACTTATAGTGACTCTGTATAGGATTTCCAAGGAGCAGCTGTTGAGCTTGAACTGTTGACTTTGCGATTCAAACCAACTTTGTGGCCCAGTGCTTTACCCCACAGTGCCACACCAAGACTTACATACATAATTCAAACTGGACTAAGAACCACAACTGAAATCCACTAGCTGCTCCTTGGAAACCCTACAGAGGGTTGCTTTGAGTCAGAATCAACTTGACAGCACTTAGCAACAACAACAATAATAGTACAAGATTTTTAATTCACCACGTTAGATGAAGGACAAAACTAAAAAGAAATTCAATGAAGACACAAAAGAACTAAACAACACAATCAACCAACTTGACCTCATAGACATATACAGAACACTTAGCACAACAACAGCACAATATGCATTCTTTTCCAGAGTATATGGAACATTCTCCAGAACAGACCATATGTTAGGTCACAAAGCAGATCTCAATAAATTTAAAAGCACCAAAATATTACAAAGCAGTTCCTCAGATCACAATGCTATAAAATATCTCTCTTCTCTTTTATCCGATGTGATCTTTCTTTACTAATCTCTACTCACTCTCTTTCTGTTTTCATGTTTCCTTTCCCTAGTTTTTCTAAGAGTTTTTAAATTTCTCCCTTTTATTTTCTCCTCTTTTATAGCTTGATTTTCCTGTCCATTTTTTTTTTAATTTAGCTATTATATTCTTTTTTTTCTGATTAAAGTAGCCTGTTTGTTTTTTTAATTCTCCTTTATTCTTTTCTCTTTTCATTGTTGGTTCCTTGTTTTTATACTCTGTTTTGATTTCTTATGTGTGTTTCTCCTCTTTCAGGCGACAACAGCTGTGCCCATATAGCACAGTCACAACTATACCCTCTGAAGTTCTACTCACTTGGCAAGAGCCAATACCAGCTCCTATACCAATAATCAATGATAGACAACAGCCAACACTAACCAAAACCTACCCTAAACTGAAGTGCATAAACAGAGAATAGAGAATGGTCAAGTAGATTGCAAGACAAAATAGAGCTTTAAATGGGGGTGGGGGGGAGAAATTAATTAATTACTGGGTAAACTCAAAGAAAATTAATATACCTTCACATCTAAATAAAAGAGAGGAAAATGAGAAAGATCTAGTATGCATTAACACAACAGAGGACTTCTGGTGTGGCACTGTAGGGTCAGCACTAGACTTTGAACCACAAGGTTGGCAGTTCAAACCCACCAGTAGCTT